GAAGTGCACCTCTCAGCTTTACTATATATTATAGATGAGAAAACTCACCCAGTGTGTATAACAAATCAATTGCCTAGTGTTACCAACCTAAAAAATTTCACTGGCTCATAATATTTTATCTATGAAACTACCTTCCGCGCACTAACAAAAAGCTTTCTTGCGAAATTTTTTTGGTATTATTAACGCCCTTTCTAACCTAATTTAATTGCAATACCTAATTCTTATCTAACAGCGAAAAAAATTTTCTGCGAGATTTTTTAGGTTAGTAACACTAATAACTCTGGATCATTTGGTCAGATTCGAAATCAAAAAACTCTGAACGTGGCCAAATGAACTGCAAATTTGGGCAGAGTTATAAATAAGTAATTGATTCTGCTATTTGATCACGATCAAAATTAGAACGAATTTAGCATAACCATAACCACCAAGATAATTTACATACAGAGTTTAAATATATTTTTACGTAAATGATTTGGATATATAGTAAAGATTTGAACACCGTGTACTTGTTCACGTACTATACGTACGTAGTTTTTTTTTTTGAAATTAACAATTCATATCCTTAAATTCCATGATAATCTATAACGATAAGGTTACAAAATTTCAAAATCACTGAAATCTCGTTAATACGTATCTGGTTTATCGCATTATCTGTTATGCATTACGACAATTACAACCATTACACCTATTACGACTATTACATCTATTACGGCAAAAAATTGCAGGGTCCAGTTACGACAATTACAACCATTACACCTACTATTACACCTATTACGGCAAAAAATTGCAGGGCCCAGAACCGGGCGGGCTACCCGAGGCCCGGCCCGACATTTTTAGGCCCATAATTACAGTGGGCTGGGCCGGTTTAAGACCGGGCCGGGTTTTGTACAAACTCCAATTACAGCTGTTCTCATAAATTTTGGAACATTTGGGAGGTGCTAGTAGAAACCAAGAAAGTTGCTTTTAAGTAAATTTTTTTTTAAACTTTAAAATTTTAAAAAAACACTAAAAACAAATTGCTTTGTTTCTACTGGCACCCCCATTTGGTAAAAAATTGACCGAATGATTGTTTGGCCGATTCGATAAGTTATTGATTTCGGCATAACGTTTATTATTTACGTAGATAGCACGTACGTACGTAAATTGATTACTAACGCTAATCGATTTGTAAATTAATAACTCACATGAAAATATAAATACTATATACGTAGTCAGGCTATCTATCTTCTTTCCATTAAAACCTTAAGATATTTTATATCATTTAGGTTTAGTGGACGTGGTTTTCTTACGAGTGGCGGAAGTCTTTCAACACATCCATATCTTTGAAGATCTGCTAACATCTTAGTGTTTAGCAATTGTTCGAACTGATAACTCTTCTAAATTTTTTTCAGCGAATATGCTTCGAAAAAAATATATGTTTCATGTGAGTTTTAATTTGTAAATCGATTATAAATCAATTTAAAACGTATATACGTAGATACGTACGTACGTACGTATGGCTTTAGCTGTTAGACTATCTACGTACGTACGGAATAAACGTTACACTGATCATGCCGAAATCAATAACTTATTATTATTTACCAGATGTTCCAAAATTTATGAGAACAGCTGTAGAAGTGGATCTAGTTTATAGTTGTTCTCAATTTCTGGGACAACTGATAAAAATTGGTTTAGTCGAATTAGATAAGTTTTGGAATTTTGTGTTATCGACATTGGATTTCCGGCATTACAGTAATGCCGATAACACCGAATTCAAAACCAATTTTTATCAGTTGTCCCAGAATTTATGATAACAGCTGAAACCGGGTTTATGAAAGCCCAACTCCAGTACGTAAAAAAAACTATTACGGCAGGCAGTCTTACTAAGCAATATATATATTTTAACTATTTAACCTGTTTGAACGTGGTTAACTTGTTTTGTACGTATGTAGCTTAAAAAGTTAAATCAAAGAAAATACGTAATACCAAGTACTATATAAAATATATGTAAAATTAAGTTTTAAAACATTTTTTATTTCAAAGCTATCTTAATACAATTTTAAGTCATTATTATTTTTTAAAAAAAAATTTTGTTTTAGATCTGTTTCAACTTCGTTCCAACTGTTTCATATACAGCATTATCACTAGACGTACGTACGTACGTACGTATACATTATTTGCTCAATGTTGATTATGTGGTGGCACTTTCGGGGTCTTCCTTGTGAACTCTTATTGCATAACGAACAGACAAAAAATATTTTTTTTTAAATAATTTTAGCATTGCCTTGCATAAGAACTGAACGTTCTCCACTTTATTATTTTATATTAGACCACACACAATAAATATTTATTTTTGTCGATTCGTATCACATTTTGAAAAGATTTGTGTCAATTTTATTTAGGGTCGTGCTTGCGCTAACGCTAACGAGATTGATAGATTGATTAGTTTATCAATGGTATAGCCCAATTCGAAGATCCATTCTAAATGTGTGTATAGGCTTAATTTTACTACGAAGGGTTACGTACGTGAGTTGCTGATGAAACTGGTGACTATCTAAAATCTGATTGGCTATTGCACTTAATAACCAATCAGATTTTAGATAGTCACCAGTTTCACCAGCACAATTTACATCATTCTCAAACAGTCATTACCCAGATCACTATTGTTAACGCTAGCTCTAAATAAGCCTAACCATAATTGTCAGGAAATGACGATAAAATAAATTCAAATTTACAAATATGTAATAGACGCGATAGTCCTGCTACCAGGTATTATTAAATTACCCAGGTTGACCGGGTAATTTACCATACGAGTGTTCGAGAGCGCAAGTAAATATTTGATCCCACAAATATTATTTACAAATTTCAAGATCAGGCTTATCTTGAAATTTGATTGGTCAAAATCGTATAATATTCGTGGGTCAAATATTTACTTGCACCTTTTCGCTCTCGAGCACTCATACAATAACGATTTCTACATACGTACCAAGGTACATAGTTTTATAAAAAGTAATATTGCTATATATATATATGTATAAAAATCATAATACATTTTGATTGGTTAGTTTTTAATCATTAAGAGTTTTTCACCATCCATTTACGAAATAATGGAAAATAAATGTGGATTTTTTTTCAAAAACATAAACTGTTTATTCATGTTACAATGTAGACATTTAATCATGTCCTACGTATATCCGGGCCAGTTACAGGTTTTAAAAATCTGTGGAGTGTAACAGACCCAGGTCTTGTATACGCCCATTTACCATATCATACGTACGTAGCGTTAATTTGTGGTCAAACTCGTGTGTCTAGAGCTACGTATTACTATGTAATACTATGAATAGTTTTTTTTTTGCTAATTGTTTAAAAATAAAATTGACTAAGCTAATTAACATTTTACGTATACAATAGCATATCGATATGTAATAAAATTTAATCCGGAATAACATTCCGGAATAGATTATGAAGAGTGATCTGGAGTCTAGATCTGGAGTAATAACTCCCCGAGTAGTAACTCCCAGAGTAGTATAGTTTTAATGTTTACTCTGGCAGAGTATACTCCACGCCAATCTGGATAACTCCATGCTATCGTATTTGAATTCCGATATTTTCTGGATTACTTCAAAGTAAACTTCATCCATTGTATTTGAAGTCCGATATTTGAGAAATTGGCTAAGTTGATCATGCCAAATATTTCCAAATGGGTGAAAACCATGCTTACATAGAGTATATGTATTAGATACGTGCGTACGTACGTACGTACGTATACTCTAAGCATGTGTATTTATCCATATATATATTTAAAAATCGTAAGACTTAGTCGACTAAGTCGATTTTATCGACTACGTATTTCATAAACTATTTATACAGTCAGACCTAACCATTAAATGTGGCACCACACCAAATGCAGCCTTAAATTTTCAAACTCATTTCTATGTATATAGTAACTAGAATGGAGTCATCATGTATATACGTACGCACGCATGTACCTAGCCTAGCATTAATGATATTAACAGTTAAATAGCATTTGTGGCATATACATAGTGTTAAACAAATTAAACTAACATATTACTTTTAGTACAAATAAATCTAATAAGATTGAGGTCATAGCAAAACCCGGACATTAAAGACCGTATAAATAATTTGGATTGGATATTAAGTTTAAGAAAGGAAAAAAAATTTTTACAATTTTAAAACACGGTAATCAAACATACCAGAAACAATATCTTTAAATGTCAATTTACAAAAGTAATCGGTATGTATGTGTTACAACAAATCTGAAAACAATCTGTGAAAAAAAGATTGTAAGATAAATAATAAAGATCAAAAACGGTAATGCTAACGGAGTATTATCACCGGCTGAGAGAAAGGTAACGATAAAGGAATTGTAACAATATCGGCATTAGGTAATTGCTCCGTAAAGGCAACATAAAATAGCAAAGATTTACGGTAACTTGTTTAACACATGATCGTAAATCAAAATTAGCAATTTGTGCCAGCTTTCTTAATTAATAATTGTGATTTTTTTATATATAAATGTTAAACGTTGTTTTTTTTAAAAAAAAAAAAAAAAATTTAAAAATTTCTGTTACGGAAATTTTTTTATTTTTATATCGATATAGTTATATAATTATTATAGTTACGTATCCACTAACCGCTATTCATCAACTACTGAACTATTTATATAACTATTCATACAACTATTCATACAACTATTCATATAGAATATACATAAATATTCAGACCCCCCTTTAAAAAATTAGCACATTGACAAAAGTTTTTGTTCGGCAGTAAAAAAAATTTATGAAAATTCAAACATAAAATTGACATAAAATTATATAGGATTTAACATTATAATACTATATAACAAACAAACATGACTATAACATCATCGACTACTACTACCAGCAGAACAAAAAATAATTCAGATACTGACACTGAAAAACCAGTAACATGTAACCGAAAAACACGAACGTATACTCGTACTCAACGAATAAAGGTCACTACACTAGGAAAAACTATTAATTCATCATCGAGAAAAAATTCAACACAAGAGAAACGATATGGCAACTGTTCAAAATGTAAAGAAAATGAAAGTAATGTGGAACTGTTGAGTGAACATGTTGAAAGAATTGAACGATTAGTAGATGATTTCGCCAAGACGGCCAAGGTGATTATTATTAATGTTAATAATAAACAGATGCTATTAAATGCATTAAATGAATGAAATGTAATTTATTAATATTTATTAATATTTATTAATGATTGAATTTTTTTTTTGCGTGTAACTAAAGTGTGATGACAGATCATCCACATACAGTGGACGGCTTTCGGACCTATCGAAATGTAGTCTTGAAGACTTACAAAAACTTATGATAAACACCACAAAGATTATGTTTCCTCAAAAATCTTCAAAAGTCGTTGGTAAATCCGGTAACGAACAAGTTTGTAAAACCGTACCAATTCCAGTTCTTAAAGCTGATTTTCATGCAGAACCTATGGAAGACATTTCTTATATTCCAAATGATAAATCTCCAATGTCTAAACTAAATGCATTTCGTCAAGATTCTGGATTTTCAGAATCTAAAGCTGGTATTGATCACTGTTAAAATTGATTCAAATGAGGAATATTAATTATATTGGGGTTTTTTTTATTCTAAGTTAGAAAAATAGGATTATACATTATGATGCTATTATAATTTCAAAGAAATAAAATACATAATTTAGTTTCTGACATGCAAATAAGCATAATAAATACTGTAAATGCCACAATTTAATAATATTCCCTTGAAATTTGATATTTTACCAATAATACGCATTCCTTGATCAAATCGAATGACTATTTTTATCATAGATTCACTTACCACAGGTTCAATTCATTAAAAATGTTACTTTCTTTATTATCGACTACCTTTTTTGGTTTCGTCAGTCTAAAAATGCTACTATTACAGTATTAATTATATATCTAAATTATAATAGTTTTAAATAATAGTGTAAATTTATATACATTTCTATATTTGTGTAATAAACAAACAACATTTCAAAAGTGAAAACCATACTAGAAATTTCTACACTCTTGAAGTCTTATAGGGTTGTCGATTTGGAAACGACACCGATACTGATTCTTCAAATGGATATAACTTTAATTGGTCATATTGATCATATTGGTCATATTGGTCATATAGGAATAGATATTTATAGACGACTAACTTGCAAACTATTCTTGATACGTACATATATTTAGAACTATTATTAATAAATAAATTATATCAAGTTTATAATTCCTTAACTAAACCTTGTTTTATTTAATAACCAAATCTCATAAATATCCCTTTTTAAAACTAAACCTTTCTAATACAAAGTCCCTAAAGTTTTGAACTTTCAACGCTTGAGCAATTTCCCGAATTTGATTCTATCAAAAATTATACATATAAAACAAGCATATGCATGATCGTTACCACCACACATATTGCAATGTAAAAAGATCAAAGTACTTCTTAGAAGTAACATTCGGTTATAATTTAAGTGATTCTCTTCCAATTCTTTCTGAAGTTTCCAGATGCAAGGCATATTAGCTATAAAATTATCTTGTTCTTTCTCATAAACTGCTATTCTATAACAGTATAATGCCCGATGCAAAGACCCAACCCTAGCTATAACCCTAGTTATAATCCTAGTTATAATCCTAGTTATAATCCTAATAGCTTATACTTAGATAGTCTGTATAGCCTCCAAAGTTTGTAACTAAATCCAGATTAACGGGATTGAACATTTAGATAAATTAATAAGAGAAAAAGGGTGTTTATTCACAATACAATTATAATGTGTTAAATTTTGTTATGTTTTCTGTATATTAGTAACAGATTGTTAGAGGTTACATATTCAACCGTTTTGACCCGAGTTGTAAATTTTTGACCCGGTTGAACCGTTTTGACACGGGTTATCCGGTTTACTATAACCCGGTTCTAAACTCTAACCGGAATATAAATTTACACATCAAACACACATGCATGTTTATCTATGCCTTTTTGCCTTAAGTAGGCGCCTTTGTTGGTCAAGTCGTTCTTGCTCTTCATCTTCCTTTCTTCCAATCTTAGAAGAACGCGCTTCTTCATTGAATACATCCATTGCAGATGCTTCCATTAGATCATCATCGTCATCGTCGTCAAAATGACGGATAGGACGATTACGTCTGAAAATTGATTGAATAATAGACGAAACATTCCTTTCATCAATACTATCTTCACGATCTCTTATGTGCTGGCGTTTAGAAGGACGAGATGGCTCAGGTGAAAGATGCATTGTTCGTTTCTTGCCCATTTGTTGTGTAGAAGGCGACAGAGTATTGTTAGTCAATCTTCTTTTGATATTAGAAGGATCGCGAGCTGGGTACTCTTCATGTGCTATACGTTTTTTGCTTGTAGATTGTAATAATTCCTTACGCGCTAAATGTATCTTATCTCTAGCTTGTGGATGTATCTTATCTCTAGCTTGTGGTGAATCACGCACAACAGAAAATTCTCGTGGTGTACGCTTTTCACCCTTAGTATTAGATATCTTATGTAATTCAGTGACTGATTTGGAAGAAGTTCGGCGAGCATCCAAATTGGTTTTGGATATACTAGTGACTTTTTTCCCAGTTGCTGGACGATGTATTTGACTTTTAGTTGCAAACTGTGAGGCTAATTTCTTGGTAACAAAATTGGAATTCTGAGTTCGTGCTAGCTTATTCAACTGAACAGGACTTGGTCGTGGTGGTACCGTGGAAAGATATTTAATCACGTTCGTAGGATGATTAGGATTCGTAATAGGTAATTTGAGTGAAGCAGGATCTAGAAGACACTTTATACGGGGATAATATATTGTATTTGGGGGATCTCGCTCTGATGGTAATTTGTGGCCCATTGCTTCTGCTTCACGTTGATAGTCTTTAAGCGTTTTTAGATGAGTTAAATCCTTAGGCTTGTGGTGAGCAGAAACGGGGACACTTTTCTCTTTTTTACCACTACTATCCTCTTTTTTACTACTACTATACTCTTTTTTACTACTGCTACCCTCCTTTTTACTATTGCTATCTTCTTTTTTATTACTGCCATCCTCTCTTTTATTACTATCTTCTTTTTTACTACTATTGGGTATTTTAATAGCAGGATCCAGTTTTTTAGAATTTGGAAAAATAGTTTCACCAAACATTTCTTCAAGTGGGCAGGATACAGCCTTTGGATATTTGAGCGAAAGATCCGGCGCAGCCTTTCTTCGTAAATCGGATTTTGAAACGTCATTGTGTAAAATGTCATTTAATCGATTAATAGCTCCTCTCTCTTTATTGATACTTCTATTCGCTTTGTTGCCGGGTTCAGATATTTTCTTAGGCATCTTAATGGTTGACACTGATTTGTTTATAGACGGCCCGAGCTTATTATTTTTATGCAATGTGTCGTTGCTGACATTACTGACATTGGTTGTTGTCTCGACCTTACGTTGTAACTTAGCTTTCTTATCTATCTCATTTCCTCCAATCTTTTTCTTTAAGTTAGCACCTCCTTGTGATTTAATACTTCCTTGTGATTTAATACTTCCTACTGGCACATCTTTACCGTTAGATGGATGAGTATGTTGCTTTTGTGTCTTTGGTTCCCAAATTGGCGCAAAGAACTCATCCCACGGATTTTCATTAGTTTTTGGTGAAGGATTTTTACCATTCATTTCAGTATTTTTCGTTACAGTGTTTGTGCAAAAAATGAAAGTTTTACAAAATATTAAAGTATAACCTTTGAGACTATCGTAAGGATATAGTGGAATGATTATATATAATTGTCTTGGTTTTCTCAGCCACATAATAGTACGTGGCTGTGCATTTACGTCACACCCATGTGATTATTAATTAAAAAGACGCGTTCTACGTATTGAAAAAAAATCAGTCGATTTTATTAAAGAATTTTTAATGTTAAATCTTTTCATTATAAATGTTACACATTATTATTATATAGTTTCAAATATAAATGATTTTAAGCTTGACTTTCTAACGTCAATAAGCCACTATTAATCGGTTATTGGGAGATTTAATACAAAGGTGCGTTTAATATATTGATCTACATATTGCATAAATTATCTTCTTGATATCTATATAAAAAATTAATTATACTTCTTCAAAAAAGTAATTTTAACGCACCTGGCTTTAACGTTTTCTCTTTTATAGTATACTGTATAACCGTTTAAACATTTTGATTATAATAAAAAATTAATAATATAGAAAGTATAATATAAATATTTATAAATTTATTTAAAATTTATTAGTGGCAAATTTTACCAGTAATTGTTTATATATAATTAAATTAAATAATTTTTTTTTTATTGTTAAGGTGATCTTTTGGTCATGTTAGGACCTCGAACAATCTACAAATAGCTAACAATTTACAAAAATTACTAAATATGCAAACTAAAATCTATAGATTGTTTGGGTTTCTGCTATTACTGTTAGTTTGCCTATTCTAGGATTTAACATTTTTTTTTTGTTATAGTGAGACTAACTAATCCATTTGTATTTCTTCGTATGATATATTACTAGAATTATATTGCATAGTTGCTTTAATAATCTATTTAGCTTAATTTCACAAAATTTTTTAAGTAGCAAGCAGTTCTATATCTAATTATAAACTTTGTATTATGTTATTAAGAGATATATACCTTGACTTTTAACTTGATTCTTCAACATTAGTTGGTGTTATATTATTGTTGGTATATTCTGGCTTGTTTCATTAAAAATTTCTATATAAGTATGATTAGAGCTCTAACTTGATACTTACTTGTTATTGGTCATATTGTTAACAATAACTAATTATTCACTAGGATGTTAAGATATAACAGTGGCCAGAGGTCACCAGGATGCTGAGATATAACGGTAGCCAGAGGTCACCATTATGACATAGCATCTGTTGTGAATAAATCAGCAATTGTTGTTAATAACTTGATCCAATAACTTGGTTATTGTATATTTCTGACATAAGCACCTGGCCATTTTATGCATCTTGTTAGGTCATTTTTAAACATGATACACAAATTTTGCTTACTGCCGATAGGAGGTAAGTAAAATTTATATATCATATATTAGAAGTGACCCAATAATATGTATGAAAATAGCTAGGTTCTTATATAAAAAGTATACAATAACTTTAGATATCTTGCTTACCTTTATAAAATTACCTTTTTTAGTTAAGTGTTTTATAGTATTAAAGGTGTTTTTGTTTAAATAAGATCAAATTTTTTATAATAACCATTTCACATATTTATTGCTTCTCTTACCATTCTAGTCTTAGTAATATTATATCACTCTTCTAAATAGTGTTATATAGAGGTTGGAACCGGTTTTAATAATTCGGGTTTATCATATGAATTTTGTGATATTTTAGAATTTAATCCAATTAAA